AGGTTTTGCTGCGCTGCGACACATGCCTGCGTCCCTGGGCCTCCCAGATGCAGACGCCGGCGGGTCATGGCCACGCGAGGGGCTGCTCATCTCTTCCCGGGGCTGACGGCTCAGACGGTGACAAAGAGAAACGGTCATCAGCCACGTCTTTGTCAGAGTCTGCCCTGAATCCTGTGCTTCGATGTCGGAGCTCACATTCCGAATTATGGGGGGTTTGGGGACTGCTGGGCGTCGAGTTTTCCTCTGCAGGGAGGCATGTGGCTTTGCTGTGCCGGCACCGTGCCTTCCGAATGCCCGCGTGAGGGCTGCAGCCCAGAAACGGGTGGTTAAAATTGCCCATGAACACGTGATATAAACAAGGTGCCAGAGGCACGCGGGCCCCCAGCATGATTTCTGGAAGCTGTGGTCTCACCTCCGCCAGAAGACAGTCACCGCTGGGGTGACGCCTGGCATCTGGGTGTCTCTGAAGCCCTCCCCCGGACTCCTGCCGAACAGCTGCCCCCACGACGCGGAAGACAGAGACTGCACACGCGTCTTCGGGGGACGCTGGTTTTTTTTTATGTTGTTCCTGAAAGTAGGAGAGTGCAGATTGCCTGTTTTCAAACTGCGCAGCGCCGGCTCTGAGCCAGTCCTGTTCTCACACGCCCCCAGAGCAGCAATAAGCTGCCTCCCTGCCTGAGTTTCCCGTATCACGTGCTCTGCAGAACGGCACACGGTGGCCCAAATAACGGCTTCCAGGAAGTTACTAGAGAGCAGAGTGCAGGCGTCATTCTGGGTGATGCGATAACAGCTATTTGGTTAGACCAAACATTCGGTCTCTAAAATTGGGCACTGGCGAGAAAAATGGGAAGTGAAAGTGACTGTTACGGTGGAAGAAAAACCAATGGATAATCCAAGGGCATTTAAGGGCCTCGCCCACAGTGATGACACGCTGCCTCTTCACTCCCTGTTTGGGAAAATTGGGAAATGTCTTCTCTGCACCACCTGGGAAATAAGCAAGAGTGTAAATGTTACCGCCCCCCCCCCCATTGAAAAGGAAACTCACCCCAGGCCGTGGGTCCTGCAGGGGGAGGGAGTCCTGGCTTGCATCAGGGTCTCCTTCGCAGAGCTTTCTAGCCTCGTCCGAGTTGTCCTCCCGCCAGGGGAGAGGGGCCCCCTCTCTCAAAGCTTCTGCCTTAATCAGCTCATGGGCCGGTGATGATGTTTGCCATATAGTCCCACCTCATGCACGACATCGTCACCACGGTGGGCCACCAGAGCGGCTCCAATCAGAAAGACCTCATAGCAGGCGTTGGTGAGGACATGGAGCAACTGGAACACGCTCACGTTTGCTTCATTCAGGCGGCCACTTTGGAGAGCTCTTTGGCTGCTTCCAATAAAATTAATCATATGCTTCCCCGATCACAGAGCAACACCACTCCCAGCCGCTTACCTAAAAGAATTGGAAACATGTGTCCACAAAAAAAAAAAAGACATGTACAAGCGTGTGCATAGCAGCCTTCATCTTAATTACAGGCCCGAACTGGGAATAACCCACATGTCCATCAGTAGGGGCCTGCATAAACAAATTGCGAAGTAGCCATACAATGGAGTGCTATTCAAAAAATAAAAAGGCGTTACAGATGCGTGCAACAGCCTGGGTCGGTCTCAGAGACACTGTGTTGGGTGAAAGAAGCCAGATTCAGAAGGATTCGTACTTTGTTGTTCCATGTATATGACGTTCCAGATTGGGCAAGTGACGGCAGTCAGGGCAGTGCCTGCCTGTTGGGGTTGGGCACGGGCTGGAGAGGGGACCAGAGGAGTATCGGAAATGCCCTGGAAATGCCCTGCACCGTGTTTGGGGTGGTACAGGCAGTTGTCAAAACTCTTGGAACTAAGTACTTAAATGATTTGTGCATTTTAGTGTATTTACGTTAATGCCCCCAGAATGCATTGCCTTGTCGTCCCGGAGGAGGAATATGCTCCTTGGAATATAAAGGGATGCTTTTGAGAAACCCTTATCGTGTTGTTACGTTAATGAGCCACCACTAACTTTGGGAGTTTCCAAAAATAGCAAGGTCTATTGATAAAGCTCCCTTATCCTTTGGTGACAAAAAAACATTGATAAAGCCCACTGTCAAAAACGGGTGTGTTGTTTCTATCTTTTGCTTTTAATGACACTAGAGTTTGTAGGACTGTCTTTAGATGGTTGTGTAATCTGTCTCACCGCCTATGGGGACGTACCAGTGGGTTGCTGCATAAACATCAGGATTGGGTGCGCTGGGGAGTCTTTGAGTTATCACAGGTATGCAGGTGCTGCTGGGGTCCCTTGGCCATTTATCTAAAACTTCATTTGTATTCACACAGGGCTTCTGGAATGAGTGCTTGGTAGAATCATCTTCAGAGGACGTTCCAGGGTATCGAACTGAGATAGCTTCCCTGTTTTCCATAAAGCTAAGCTCGAAATTGGCACCAGGCTACAGGCATTCTGTATGGGGAGGGAGTGGGCACGCGTGATTTCAGGAAATGGAGAACTAGCCTTCAGCCTGCACTTTGCTTCCTCCCTCCCGTGGCAGGTTAGTGGGGGCTCACTAAGCACTTTATCTGGCCGTGGTGATTTCTCTGCTGCTGCGCTGCACAGTTAGGGCCGGTCTCCTTCCGGTGCAAGGAGGATGCGTGTTCCCAGCAGGTGACGGGTGGGCTCAGCACCCCTGCCTCTCGGCCGAGCCTTCTGAGGGCCGTGCAGCTCCTAACCGTCCAACTGCCGCACAGGCACCCTGAGCAAACGGATGTGGAGCTTGCATTGCCACCCTTCCTGGAAGGGCCCCCAGTAAAAAGAGCAGAGGATGTAACTTTCAACACGCACACTCATGGGAAGCAATGATTTTGGAACACCAAACCTCAGTGACGAGGCGGAGGCACCCTTGGCCTTTGGATGGAACGACATTTTCAGGGAGGAGGGTGAGGGGCAGGGAGGGCCGAGGAGACAGCTGGGGACTGCAGCTGCAAGTCTTCTTATGGATCCGGTCATCATCGCAGATTGTGTTGCTATGTCACTCGGTGGAGACAGAGTGGAAGTTTTTTTTTTTTTTTTCCCCTCGCTGTGTTTCTTTTTGTTTTTGTTTTCCAAATTTTCTTTTACTTAAAATTTGAGGTTGTTGCCTGGTGTTTCTGGTGTTAGACAGAAGTTAAACTTATGCCATTTCTTCCTTCCTCACACGCAGGGGACGGGACAGGGCGCCGGCTGGGTTGCAGCCCGCTGACTCTGCCACAAGTGCTTGGGGGAAGGTTCGGACTTAGTTTTTCTTCTGTGAAATGGGTAGTGTGAAGGATATTTAATAAACTGCTTTAGGAGAAGTCCTGACACACAGTGACGCACAAAGACACCCTCGTTTCCTTCTCCCTGAAGGTGCACTGTTGCCTTCTCTGTCTTTATCACATCTTTTCAGATTTACCCCGCACGGGGAACGCAATGTTGCCATGTTCTTGGTGGCCGGTCCGGGGGCACCGCGGATGGGTACATGTGATCTTCCCCCAGACCTCACACCACTTCTCACTTCAACTGCCATAAAATGCCAGGCACCACCCACAGGGCTCTGCGGTGCTGGTCGGAGGCAGGAGGGCTGTGGCTAGGCGTGGGCTTGGCCAGGTGGGTGAGGTGGGTGCCCGGGGTCAGGGGTGGGGCGGGGACACTGTGAGGACAGACCCCAAGCAGGAAAGCCCTGTTTGCAGACGAGCCACAGGACCCGCGGTGTGTGTGTCTGTCCAGCTGGGACAGGGGACGGAAACCAGAGTGGTTGGCGCTGGGTTGCCAGGCTCAGGCCGGGTGGACCACCCTTCCTACTGCACAACGGGGGCTGCCTGGGCCCCCAGATTTTCAGCTCCTCTGAGTCCCTGTGGGGGTCCCCCGTCCCTCTGCCCTGCCTCCCTGTAGGGGTCTCACTCCACTTTGCAGTGAGTTTCTAGCAAAATATTATCTATTCTGGCAGCACCAAGTAGTTGAGGACTCCAGAAAAGAAAACTCAGGGAACGTGAAGGGCGTGGACAAAGTTTAAATTTGTCTCTTTCCCAGGTGGCCCAGCCTTCCCAGCCAGCTTGCCAGGCGCCGGCCATCTCCCTGCTCCCAGCCTTTGTACCCTGGAAACCCAAATGTGAGGACTCTGTGCTCCCCAGCACCCCCCCATTTCTATTCAGAATAAACTGCCCCCTCTGTCTGCTTTCGCCCCACGTTCCCTTTCTGACTCAGCTAACATCTGACTTGGCCCTGCAACTCTGTCCCTCAAAACCCTCTCTACCCAAGTGCTCCCGGACCCACGGTGCCGGGGACAAGTCCATCTCCTGGAGAGCCGTGCTCCCTGCTGCTCTTCCCTCCTCCCTCTTCTGCCGGGAGCCTCCCTCCCTCCACCCTTCTCTGTGGAAACCGTGTTCGTCTTCCCAGGCACCTCTCATTTCTGCCACCCCTAAGAAGTCCTCCCGGAACCCCGCGGATGTTTTGTGGTGTGTCCACCGTGCTCCACTCTGTGCAGATCACACCGTGGGGTTTTCGGTTCCCTGAAGGCAGGGACCTGTTCCGGGTGGGAGAGCCGCCGTGCCCTGCACCGGGTGGCCGTGACGCGGTGCCGGCTCCGGGGTGGCGGTGCAGGGAGCTGACACACGCGTGGAGGAGCCCAGGGAGGCCAGTCTGCTCCGCAGCGAAGCGGCGTGGGCAGCTCCGGCAGTTTCTCTCTCTGACGGATTTAGGACAGGGTTCCGGTCAGGAGGGCCCCGGGTGCACTTTGCAAGACAGACGACAACAGCCCACGTCAAGCTGGAAGACGGGGGACGACAGGCCATAGAGCTCTAGACAGGACCGAGCCCTTCTGTGCCTTGACGTTCCACCGGGTGCACGGGTTGCCTCCCATGGAATTTAATAATGCCTCCCGTCGTTTTTCTGTCGTGGGATGGTGTACGTTGATTGAATCGCGCCTCACTGTTTTCGAGAGGAAAAGCATTCATAACACGCGTCCCTTTGTTTCTTGCAGGCTACGATGGTCCTGAGCTCCGCTCACTTCTGGCTGGGGCTGTTTCTGGTCCCCACGGCCTGTTTGATTGAAGACGTGGCGTGGAGAGCGTAAGTTGAGAAATGAGGTGGTGGCGCCCAGCCCGGCTCGCCTGTCCCTGCGATGGTCCCTCTCGACGGCTCTGAAAAACACGGGTCTTCTGCCACCTGCCAGCAGAAGATTCTTTTCTCTTTAATTTTTAAATCTAACTTCTGCTTCCTCGTGGTATGAAAATAGAGACAAAAGGGAGCCCCGAGAGAGAGGCGGTGTGAAGGCCGGCGGGGCCGTTGCCTCGTGCACGACTGACTGCGAGGAAGGGTTTTCTAAGCACAGACCCGTTTCGTCCAGTTTAGAAAGTGTGGCCCCAAATTAAAGTCTCTACAGCTGAAACTCAATGTTAAGGGATCGCGAAGACGGCCTGGCTTTAAGTCCCCTGCTTAAAGGAAAATTGTGTATATGTAAGTCATCTGTGTGTGTGTGTGTGTGTGTGTGTGTGTGTGTGTGTTAAGTCATTTTAAGTTACAAGAATGAAGTAGTCTTCCTTTTTCCAACAATTCGCAGTAAGAATCCTTCTAATAAAAATCCTCTTAGAGAGTTAGTGTATAGGTTTGTGATAAAAATCAATCACAAAGATGAAATTATAGGTTTTATAGGAAATAATTCATATTCATAATAACTCATAATTTTTTGCTTTTATGCTTTAAAATATATCATTTCCAACATATCTTGTGTACAGTGTAAAAGAAACCGCTAAATTCCAATATAATGTAAATTTAATTTCATCCATGAGCAAGAGGAGAGGATTCTCCAAATGAGATATTAATTATAGTGAGTTTTGTTTTGGGTGGGCCCAGTTCTTTCTACAAATAGTTGCCAACTTCCCTGAAAATGGAGACTGCTAGCTTGGCTTAACTTTGGGGAAAGCATAATTATCTTGGGGCCCTGAGGTAGAGAATTGAGACTTTAATCCAAACCTTCCAGGAAAAGACATCAGATTTCATTTCTATCTCTCCGTTGCTCCCACACGCAGTGAGAATTATTCTTGCCTGACAGTTAAGGATGTCTTTTGAAAAAGTCTTCATTTTGGCTTTATCTTGACAACTGGTGATACCTAATGCAGAGAGAAGGGGAAAAGAATACTATGGCACATATATTTTTTCCCCTATTAACTGAGTTTTTCAACCTAGTTAAAATTAAATACTAATTTCTTAAGTGCTTTGATTTGCCACGATTTCCATTTTATTTGCTAAAACTGTGTGTGTTCTGTAAATGGCAGAATCAAAATCCTTGGAAATGAAAATTATAGCCAGGAAAGATATTTCCTTAATCTAATAGAGGTCCTGTAAGAAAGTATTAGTTCTTTCAGCCAGTAGGCCCACTTTTTTGGCTTCATATATTCCTGTGCTGGACTTGTTCAGTTTTGCAAAGATAAGTTCATTTTAGATAAATATAGCATGGTCTTGGCTCTATTGGATAACTTTTTCAATTTATAGTGATTAGGAAGTAGCAACCTGATTATCAGCTGTCTTAAATTAACGTCATCAAAATTTTTTTACTGAGACTGTGTATTTGCAAAATACTTTTTAGCAAAAGTGTCTTTCTTCCATCTCAAAGACAACATTTATAGATTATGAAGTCTCTGTGCCTCCTTGTCTGTTTTCTGGATCTTTTTCTCAGTGCATTCCAAGTAAAAATTCCCAGTCACCATGAAGCAGATTATCTGTCCCCTCAAACGGGACTTGTTTTTGGTGTCCCCTGGGGCTGTAAAATTAGCACCATTTACATTTTAACAAGGATGAATCCAAGGGCCCTGTTGCCAGCTCCACCATATGGCAGGAGTAAAAGTCACTTCCTTCCCAAGGAGCTTGCAGCCAGGTGAGCACAGGGACCAGGGCTGTGCTCGGGTGGTGCTGCGGCCTGCAGGGAAGGTCGGCCCTGGGCGCTGTCCCTCCTAAGCCTGCTGCCCAACACGGTGGACCCGAGACACAGCTCTTCCCAGGAGCCGGCAGCATCTCAGTTCTGGGCTGAGCTGGAAGGGCCCCTACTGAATTCCAGAGGCACTTCCTGAAACACATGTTTGTCTTGTTTTATTTGGAGGAGCAGAGAAGGTAGCACATGTTGGCCGTCACCTGGAGTATTTGCTCACATTGCACATATGCTCAATGTGTAATATCTACTTAATGTCTAAACTACAGTCACCTCTGTCTTCAAGAGCAAGGACTTTGTGAGTTTATTTGGGCATTTCCCCTCTGATCGTGGGGCCCACGTCGTAGCTCGTAGTATACTCAGAGCCTGGGATATCTGTTGTCGAGGCAAGTGAGTCCAGAGGCCTCTCCCATCGAGAAGCCGTGTTGTGACTTGCTTCCCTCTGCGAAGGCCGCAGAGCCCCACTGGGATTTCTCTTTCTGAACTGCAGCCTTAGAAAACATGTCCTGGCTTTTTCTACCCATACACTGAACAAAAATATTAGTCCTGACCGTTCCCAATCATGCCTCATTCTGTTTAGGTTGTCAGATATGTACTGAGGCGTGAGATGCTGTGGCGCACCCCTGAACTACCCAGAAGGGCTTTCCATCGGAGAATGGGAATTGGGGAGCAGCTTCAGAACTTGCTCCGAGACGGCCGCTCACGCCCACGGCCGCATTGCAGGTCTGGCCACAGTACCGTGTTTCCCCGAAAATAAGACCTACCCACAAAATAAGCCCTAGCAGGATCTCTAAGCATCTGCGCAATAGAAGCCCTACCCCAAAAAATAAGCCCTAGTGACGGGCGTGGCTACGCAGCGTTTCTGCACAACCCATGCATTTCGTCGCCGGGCAAGTAGAGAAGACGAGCAGCCCTTCTCATCTGCCCCGTCGTGACACCTACTACCCCAGAGCTGACCGGAAAGGTGCGGGCAGCCCCACCAACAAGGCCGGCTCCCCCTGTCAGGTCCCGGCCATCCTGTGTGAGCTGCAGGCTGAGGCTTTGAGGGGCAAATAACACATCCCCTGAAAATAAGCCCTAGGGTGTCTTCTTGAGGAAAACTAAATGCAAGACTCTGTCTTATTTTAGGGGAAACACGGTATTATCGCATTTCCTCATTTTTGTCTTGGACCAATCTTCAGGACTTTTTCTTTTGTTTTGAATGTCGGTGGTTATTGCTCTGTTTTGAAAGGGCTTTTAACCTCTAGCACAAGCTCGGCCTGCCTTTTCAAACCCATGTCTGTGGGCACTTAAGAAAGCGAGCTGCTCCGTCTTCCCGCAGTTTCCCCCCTTTCTCTGTCCGGTCCCTCGCTGCCTTTTTAGGACCTGGACTGCTCAGAGTAAGAAAAGAGACACGGAATGAGGCAATTCAGTCACTTTTTCCATGAAGTCTGTCAACTTTTTGGATGAAGATTCATTAACAGACTATCTTAAGTCAGGCTTGGAACGCCATAAATTGCCTGTGCCGTTATCCTGCTGACCAGGATTTTCATGAGGGACCAAGCTAACCTATCTCTTATTAAAATAATTGATTGATTACACTTGATACCTGGCTAATGAGTATTTCTATTAGAAGCATGAAGTTTAAATTGCCCAGAACTGGTTTAATATCCCTTCGCTTACACTCTTCCAGAGTGTTTACCTATGACAGCATGCTTAGGTAAGCTGCCATGCTCGGGTTCTGTTGAGGGGAAATTCATTCATGTTGCTTTATAAAAATAATATGAAGCTCGAGGCCCCTGAACACAGAGGAACCAGTTTATTTTTATCAAGCTCTATCTCTGTGCTACGCCATTCATCACACAGTACATTCCCAACTCCACAATGACTTCATTTCCTTATTGTAACTCCGGATAGGCAGCTCAGTGGAAATAAGAGGTAATGAGCGACTTCTATATACAAATGGGCCTCGGTTTTTTATTTTTTATTTTTTTTTAAACTTTCTAATGAAACTAATTTCTTTTGAAGCACATCGTATTTACATTTAGAGGTTAGCGTTTTCCTTTGACTCGCTATCCTTGCAGGAAAAAGAAAGAGTCTAGGCGAAAGTTTCGGGATCAAAAAGGTGGAAAGTTCAAGATCCTAAACCAATCTGTTCCTTTCCAAAGTCCCTCAGCACCTGGAGTCATCTGAAAGGTCACGATGACGCCCACACTCAGGTGTCAGTAGCCGGGCACCCCCACCCTTCTGTGCTCAGGTGGCCTCCTGAAGTGGGGTTCGCTGAAGCAAGCCCGGGGCCGCGGGGGGCAAGCCCTTTGCAGACAGGGCGGCTCACTCTGTCAAAGCTGCGGCTGGAAACACCCGAGCCCCTGCTCACTGCAAGACCTAGACGATATGGCAGTCACTGATGCCTAAACACTGACTTCATAGCCTACCAATATTACGTCTTAGTCCACTCACATGTAGACTTTGACAGCGGGGCTTTCAGAATCATTTTTCTGATTCAGGCCGTTATTAGATCAAGGTGCTCGAGGAAACAGCTCGGAATCGCTGGCATCCCTCGCACCCACGTGCTGCGTGCAGGAAGAGTAGCTGGGTCTCCGCCAGGGCTGGGATTCGCCGTTCTCCCGCAGCAGCTAAGTTCCCCGGCTAGCTCTCAGGAGCTGGCCGCATGGAAATTGCTCAAATTCGCCAAGTAACTCTTGGATGTGGATGCAATTTCATCCACTGAGAACATGCACGGTGCCTGGGGCCATCAAGACACTCAGACTGTCACCTTCTAGTGGGAACAGGCAGCTCCAATGTGGTGGGCGGAGTTTCTCTGTCCTTGCCTAAGCTGTAGATGCCCAGGGCCCTGCACCCGGCCTGCCCGGCCTTCCTGGTCCAGCCTCCTCCTCGGTGACTCCTCTCTCCCACCCCAGAGGATGACAAAGGGGGCTGTTCTATACCCTGCACCAGGGGTTTGGAGGGTGCGGGAGGATGCTGGTGGAGTGAGGGGTCCTGAAAGAGGGAGGGAGCACACTCACCCTTCGGGAGGAGCCAGACGGCTCTCCTGGGACCCGTGTGTGCTGGCCCAGGGCAGGCGGGGGCTCACCACTCAGCGCTTATCAGTCTAGCCTCATAAGCCCAGGAGATAAAAGGCACAGTCTGGGGCCCACGCATTCAGGAATATCGAACAGTATATACATTTGAACATCCTTTGGACTCCCTCCTTCCCAGCAAAATGTGAGACCTTTTCTCATTTGTTGTTTAAATTAAAATTCCACGGCCTCTGCTTTGAACTGCATGCAGCATTTTATCGACCCTGAGTCTCAGGACACTGTTTGATGTAATTAAGGTATTATGTGTTAAAACCCGTGTGGTTTTCCCGTGTTTACTTTGTGGGAAAGGATGACAGGCCCATATGCAGTGTCTTCGTGCTAATACTCCGGTGCAGATTAGCTTGAGTGTCAGGAGATGGCTTGGCATTATCTTAACAGACTCTCTTTCCTTGAAAGCTGGGGGTGGGGGGGTGTTGGGGGCAGGGCGGGGAGCATGTGACTCTGCTGAACCAGCTGTGTCTTCAGAATGTCCCCACGACACTGATTTCATTTCCGGGCAGGTGTGCTCAGTTTCTGCCCTTATTCTATCTGTGAGTCCCGGCACTGGCGGGATCCTCACGTGTACGGATATCGAAATTAAACCAGTGCACAGCTTTTCATAAGGAAACCTGCTGTGTGTGGCTGATGTATGAGCCTCTTCTTTTTGCAGATTTTCCCTCTGTCTGACCTGTACCTTGTAAAATGCCTTTTCTTCACCTGGACTGTTTCCAACCAGTAGTTCAAAAGTTTTAGCCTCGTCCACTCTCAGTTTTAGAAAGGCCTCGAGATCAGCCAACTGTTGGAGCAACTGGGAGGGCTTCCTCTTAGTTTGATCAGAAGGAAGAGTACGGGCTCCTCATCGTGTGGAAAGGGCTGAGGTTCACATCGTGGCAGCAAAGCCAGCTTGCTTTTGTTGTTTTGACGGTCCTGATGGGCCCTGATGGGGAGTCACCAGCAGAGAAAGACGGGAAATCTCTGCGTGGGTGCTGGTGTTGGCTCCACGTTCCAGGCCGAGGGTTTTGCATGCAGAACGCGATCGCAGGCATCATAAGCCCCGTCCTGCTGCGGCCGGGGCTCTTTTCACACTAAAGAGGGAGGGAGGATGCTTGCTAACCCCTGGGCTCTCTGACTGCATGTGGGGCAAGGCCCAGCGTACGTGCACCAGGGTGAGGATTTAAAACATCTTCTGGCCTTCAGAGCCTGCAGCGAAGACTTTTGGAGGCAGACCCTGGGTCTTCATGAACCACGCGCGGGCTTTGGTCTGAATAACTGGGCTCCTGCGCCAGCTCTGTGGACATCCCGTCCTTTGCGGGCAGGCGGGGAGGTGGTTCTTCTGACACTCGTGGTCCCGGTCTGCGGAGCTGCAGCCCCTGTCACTCACGCACACCTTGAACGGTCCATGCCGACCTAAGCCTTGGGGGGAGGCGTGGCTGAGAGGGGAGCCCCGGTCTTCACAGCTGTGTCAAGTCCCTATGCCATGTTCTTGTTGTCTTTCCCTCGTGCTGCAGGGCCAAGCATACCTGCAAAAAGACGTTGCTGGAGGAGGTGCAGGAGCTGGAGACCAAGTCCAGAGTGCTGGGGAAGGCCATGCTGCGGGACAGTAACGGAAAGAGGTGGGCAGCGCCCTCGGAATGCCCTCGGAGCACGTGTCCTCCCGACCTTCCTCCCCCCTCCTTCCTGCCTTCCTCTTTCTCTTTCTCACCTTGGTTCTCCCCGAGAGCACGGCAGGCTCAGTTGCAAGCATTCGGGTGGTTCTCAGTGAGATGTAAATCGTGCTCTCTCCATGGCCACGTGGAATCCGACTTTCCGGGTGGCTGGGCCTGTCCCCAGGTAAGACGGGGGTTCGTGTTGGGTCTGGAGGCGGGCGGGACAGCCCAGGTGCAGAAACCGGCATCACAGCAACGTCGCCATGAGGCGGGAGAGTCCGGGTGTAGCCGTGTTGCCAAAGAGGATCTCAAAGCCAGGGCTCTGGACTCAGGCCCAGTTATCATTCCCAGGGGTGCGTACGCACTGTGACGGAATGACGCATGTTAGCTGTTCATGGGAGCTTGTTAAGGTCCGCTTCAGCACTTGAGGGGTGTTTTCAATGAATTGCTATTTTCCACGGGGGTTGGGGAGGACGTGGGAACTACCGGAACAAATGGTGCCGCTCGCATGTTCACATGTTGTCACCGTGCACTCTGTTAAACCCATATATGCACTACCAAAGGAAGTGTCCTCAGGTCTGGGCACAATCTGCAATGTACCAGAAAGCCATTGCTGTATTCTTAGGGACATAAATGCCTAGAAAATTCTGAGTACAACTCTCCTATCAATGCTCAGAAGCAAATCTGTAACTAAATGCTGGTGAAACAAAGATGCAGAAGTTGAATACTTTAGAGATGCCCACTTTGTGTTTTATAGTATTTATTCGTACCATCTTTTAAAACTAGGAAGACAAGGCAATTTTTTTTTTTTTTTTTTTTTAAAGAAAGAGAATCCAAGCATGTCGAGAGGCTTTCGAAGTATAATTGCAAATAGATATTTTAGGAAAGGGATTGAAGTTGTGGTTTGTGTGCTCATGGATGAGTTACCTTTTTTAGTAAGTGAGTTGATGAAGTGCTCGTTGTACAGCAGCCCTGCTAGTCGCTGGAGAAAAAACAGCAGTCACCAGGACAAAAATCACTGGCTTCAGTAAGCTTAAAGCTGTGACTTCGTGAGGGCGGGAGGCCGGGTTCACACGGGGTCTACGCATAACCGCCGCACGAGGCAGCGCATGGTGTGTGTAGGGCTGTTCCACCAGACAGTTTGGCACAGGGCTTAGCGCCCACGGAGTTTTCAAGACCCTGCGACATTCTTTGAGACTTGGGAAAAAAAAACATATTCATAGGCTCCAAAAATCAGGGAGTGGGAAACCCCTGCAAATTCAAATTAAGAAATGTTTCAAATTCTGTAAAATGTGTATCAGTCTTACTAACTGGTAGGCTTCCTAAGCCCGATAAGTTTTATCCTACTTAGAGACAACTTACAGGCTCTCCTATATCTCAAGAATTCTCACATATAGACACAGTGTCTGCTGAGCCAGCTGAAGCCACCTCTCAGCAAAGTGAGAGTTGCAGGGCAAAACTCTACAATTCCTTCCAAACATCTTACAGGAAAAATTGCGTGCGCCGTGGTATGAGAGCGTACGCTAACTTGTTGGTTCTAATGTGGGACAGACAGGGTCTCCTTCTGGCCTGTGAGCTTCTGAAAACAGCCCTGACCGTGGGGTCGGTAAGCAGGACATTCAGAAGAGGCAGTGGACCAGGGGGTCATCTGGCTGGAATGATCGGGAAGGGCTTTATGCTGGGGACAGACGGACAGCGGGGCTCTGGGGCTATGACAGACTTGAACGGGCAGGACTAACGAGGGTGTGTTTTGGGCAAAGGGAGTGGCCTTTGCCAGGGCACCGGTCAGACGGCGGGCGGGGAGCACACCCTACTCTGCTTGGAGGGCCACACAGGCGTTTCATAGTCATCTGGAGAATTCTGGCTTAGCCGCCTCTCTGTGTGCCCTCGTGCAGGATACTCCATGTAAGGAGCCTTTTCCTCTGTCGTAGAAGGTGGCTCATACTTCCGGGAGAGATCAGAGCTCATGGAATGGTGTGCACGTCGCAGCATGTTGCCTGACCCGCGGAGGGAATGGCAAGGTCAGCCCCAGGCTGCGGACTGGCTGGAGAGTCGTGTGCGCGCAGACGTCGTGGGCTGTCAGCCTCAAAAGACTGCCATGAGCCAGTCATTGCTTCTTGTCGATAAAAAGCACATGATTTTAAAAATTCACTTATCCTGTTAAAAATTCACTTTTAAATGTTCAGATAGATATCAAAAAATAATAATAATTAGAGTTTTAAATGTGCTTCCCTACCTTCTACATTTAAAAATCCATTTTCTGGTCCCTTTGTAAATTTCACTGTAGTTCTTCTAGTCCTGGCGTCTTTGTGTCACTTTGGGATTCCTAGCCAGAAGACAGTTTGGGGGCTCTGCCCTGCTATAATCCTTCTCAGCAACTCCCTGCCCCTTGTTTTCATCCCTCCTAATTGCTCCCAGATTTTCTGGGTGGTCCATCTGCAAACTAGATAATGGTGGCTGCCGCTCTCTGTAGAGAGACCACAGTGTCCTGCTGTCCTGCTCGGCCTCCCGAGAGCTGCTCACAATCGTTCTCTTATCACCTTTGTTTGTTCCTTCACACCTGCTTAGATGCCTGTGTACTCTGCTGTCCAGGAGGGACGAAGGGTGGGGACTTCTTCGGCTGGGTTCTTCCTTCTAGAGATCGTGTAGACCCCCTCTGTGAGCCCTCATGGGTATTTTTGTCTCTTCTCACACCTTCCCGTTCCTTCTTCCTCAGCCTTGTCTGATTTCTCAGTTTACTCGTGCATCTCTCTAGCTGTCGGCCTGGCCCGTAGCAGAAGCTCTGTATTTATGGACCGACTGGCCGAAAACACCTAAGTCCAGTGAGGTTGCCATAAGGCAGGAAGGTGGCCCTGCAGCATCGTCACCTGGGCTGGCATGCAGGTGCTGGTATGTCAGCTCCTGCTGACAGTGGCCACAGAGAGATGGGGACAGTCACCGCTGTCACGGAGCCTCTAGGGAGAGGGCAGTTCATCTCACTGCTTAAGAATAGAGCTAACTTAGAACCGTAGATGGAGAGACCCATGCAAAGACTCAAAGGCCAGGAGCTGGTGCTCCTGACAGCCCTTGCTGCCTCCCTGTGCCCCTCAAGCCTCAGCACCCCTGGACCCCAGCACCCGGCCCCCAGCAACCCCAGCACCCCTGACCCTCAGCACCCCTGACCTTCAGCACCCCTGACCACAGGGGCTCGAGTCTGCAGCACTCCTTAGGGGCCCCTCAAGGACATTCTGCCAAGTCATAAAACCTAGGTCCAAGTTACTGGCAAATATTCCAGCACTTTTTCTTAGGAATGTAATCGTAGAAAAAGAGAACAAAAAATCGTCGTGTGTCAGTCTTAAAAAACCCTCTTGTGCCAAATTCACAACTATAATTTTGAAATGGTAGCTAGGGATTCTAAGTTTCCCTCTATTTCTCTCATTCATTCGGTAAAATACTTTACCCTCTCATGTTATTGAACTTGTCTGAGCCCCAAACACGATTCTGTTAGGCGTTGCATTTTCGCTGACGTGCTTCTGCAAAAACCTCGTCTGCCGAAATTAACCTGTGGAACCGGTGCATGAATGAGCCTGAGCTCATGGCTGAGGTCAGACGAGACGATAACAAGGAAAGGTGAGGTCAGAGAATTAGGTATCCGGAAAGTAGAGTAAAGTAAGACAAGGCTTTAGGTAATTAATAAAACAAGTTTGCCTTGATTTTAGTTTGCCTGGTTGAAGGAGTGCCTTTCTCCACGCGGTGTTTGTGCACCTTGCAGACATCAGACCGGTGCTAACGTTTGGGTTGGTCACGACGCCTCTCCCCGCTGTCGCGCCGTGTTCCCCGCCAGGAGGCGGCCAGGCCGGCCTGTTCCGTGTGCGGGCTAGTCGTCCACGCATGCGGTTAGCGCGGGTCTGAAACCTGAGACACTAAGTGGAAGAACATTCCTTTTTTTTCCGTGTTTTGGGTGATATTTTCCCCTCTTTATTCCTAAAGTGCAAGTCATCCAGTGTTTTTTTTTTTTCATCAGTGGGAGATAATCTACCTGTGTCCACTTACCTTTACAGATACAACACGAATGCCTAAAACATGGTGTGCGATGACGGGCGTTTTTATTTTTCCCCTTAATTTTTTTCGTCTTCCTTGGTGCGAGGTGAGCGTGTGTCCCGTAATGTCTTAGGTACTATGGCAAGCAAGAAAACAAGTGAGTATGTTTGCTGGAAACATGGAGTTTTCAAGTTCTGTGTAGTCCGAACACACAACGAGGAGCCCCTCGTAGCGACGGTCTCTCTGTTCGTCACAGGTGGGGGGCGGGCGGGGCCGATTTTCTCCCGTTTCAAGGCTGAGCCGTCCTGGTTGCTGCCGTCACCGGGAGGGCGGTGGATTCCCTTTCACTTGGCCTCCCTTGGGTGTTGTGTTCTCGGGAACACTGGTGCGTGGCTCCCTGACCAGGGCTGAGCCCCGCACACACGTAGTAATCAAGACAGCCGTCGGCCGCCTGGGCGTCCGGGGAGGGAAACCTGAGCCATGCTGCCAGGCTGCAGCCCGGTGCCGCCCGGGCTCCCCTTTCATCAGGGCTGGTTCCCAACAGCCAGGCCCTGGTCCAGCCCGGTGCCGCCCGGGCTCCCGTCCCATCAGGGCTGGTTCCCAACAGCCAGGCCCTGGTCCACCCTGGTGCCGCCCGGGCTCCTGTCCCATCAGGGCTGGTTCCCAACAGCCAGGCCCTGGTCGCCTGGTGCTGCCTAGGCTCCCATCTCAGCAGGGCTGGTTCCCAACAGCCAGGCCCTGGTCCAGCCCGGTGCCGCCCGGGCTCCCATCTCAGCAGGGCTGGTTCCCAACAGCCAGGCCCTGGTCCAGCCCGGTGCCGCCCGGGCTCCCATCTCAGCAGGGCTGGTTCCCAACAGCCAGGCCCTGGTCCAGCCTGGTGCCGCCCGGGCTCCCATCTCAGCAGGGCTGGTTCCCAACAGCCAGGCCCTGGTCCAGCCCGGTGCCGC